TGAGTCTTCCTCCAATCCTGTTGCCATGTTTTTCTTCATATAACCCAGCTTCTCGGATTATTTGCTCAGCATACAAAGTTGAATAAGTATGCTCAAAGAATAAAATTCTGTCACACACCTTTCTTGATTTTAAACCATTCAGTGTTCCCATGTTCTATTCGAACAACTACTTCTTGGTCTATGAACAGGTTCCTCATGAGCACAATTAAGTGTTTCAGAATATTCATACTTCGCAATGTTGTCCATAGCTTGTCAAGAACCACACAATAGAAAGCCTCTGTGTAGTCAATCAAGCACAAGTAAACATCTTTCTGGTATTCTCTGCTTTCAGCCAAGATCCACCAGCATCAGCACTGATATCCCTTGTTCCATGTCCTCTTCTGAAACCAGCCTGAGCCTCTGGAAGTTCTCGGTCAATGTATGATTGCAGCCGTTTCTGTATTACCTTTAGCAAAACTTTACCAGCATGGGATATCAATGATATTGTCCGATGATTTCTGCATTATGTTGGGTCACTGCTCTTTGGAATGGGCACAGATACGGATCTCTTCCAGTCAGTTGGTCAGGTAGTTGTCTTCCAAATTTCTTGGCATAGATGAGTGAGTGCCTCCAGTGCTGCTTAATTTTGTTGAAAGTTTCAATATGTACTCCATCAATTCCCATTGTTCTTTGCCAATGATTTCAATGCACTGTGGACTTCTTCCTTCAGGATCAATGGCTCTTGATCATATGCTAACTCCTGAAATGGCTGAACATCAACTATTTCTTTTTGGTACAGTGATTCAGGGTATTCCTTTCATCTTCTTTTGATGTTTTCTTCATTATTCAGTATTTTGCCCATTGTTGTTCTTATGTGCCATCAAGTCGGTACCAACTCATAGTGACCCTATGCACAACAGAACGAAACACTGCTCGATCCTGGGCCAACCTCATAATTGTTGCCACGCTTGAGCCCACTGATGCTGCCACTTTGCCAATCCATCTTGCTGGGGGTCTTCCTCTTTATCTCTGACCCTCCACCTTACCAAACATGATATCCTTCTCTAGTGACTGGTCCCTCCTGACAATATGTCCTAAGTATGAGAGATGAAGTTTGGTCATCCTGGCCTCCAAGGAGCACTCTGGATGTACTTCTTCCAACACAGATCATTCTGTTCTTTTGGCAGTCCATGGCACTTTCACTATTCTCCTCCAACACCATAACTCAAATGCATCAGTTCTTCTACAGTCTTCCTTATTCACTGTCAGGCTTTCACATGCATATGAGGTTATTAAAAATACCATGGTTTGTGTCAGGCGTACCTTAGTCCTCAAGCTGACATCTTTGCTCTTCAATGCTTTAAAAAGGTCTTGTGCAGCAGATTTGCCTAGTGCAATACATCGTTTGATTTCTTGACTGCTGCTTCCATGAGTGTTGATGATTAATCCAAGAAGAATGAAGTCCTTGACAACTTCTATCTTTTCTCCGTTGGTAAGAATGTTGTTTATTGGCCCACTGGTGAGGATTTTTGTTTTCTTTACATTGAGATGCAATCCATACCAAAGGCTATTCTCTTTGATTTTCATCAGTAAATATTTTAAGTCCTCTTCACTTTCAGCAAGCAAAGTTGTATCATCAGCATATCGCAGGTTGTTAATGAGTCTTCCTCCAATCCTGATGCCACGTTTTTCTTCATATAACCCAGCTTCTCAAATGATTTGCTCAACATACAGGTTGACTAAGTATGGTGAAAGAATACAACCCTGTTGCACACCTTTCTTAATTTGAAACCATTCAGTGTTCCCATGTTCTGTTTGAACAACTGCTTCTTGGTCCATGTACAGATTCCTCACGAGCACGGTTTAAGTGTTCAGGAATACTCATACTTCACAATGTTGTCCATAGCTTGTCAAGATCCACACAATAGAAAGCCTTTGTGTAGTCAATAAAGCACAGGTAAACACCTTTCTGATATTTTCTGCTTTCAGCCAAGATCCATTGATGTCAGCAATGATATCCTTCATTCCACGGTCTCTTAGGAATTCAGCTTGAACCTCTGGAAGTTCTCTGTCAATGTATGATTGTAGCCATTTCTGTATTACCTTTAGCAAAACTTTACTCACATGAGATATCAAAGATATTGTCCTATGATTTCCATATTATGTTGGGTCACCTCTCTTTGGAATGGGCACAAATATGGATCTCTTCCAATCAGTCGGCCAGATAGTTGTCTTCCAAATTTCTTGGCATAGATGAGTGAGTGCCTCCTGTGTCGCCTCATTTTCTTGAAAGATTTCAATTTTTATTCCATCATTTCCTGGAGCCCTGTTCTTTGCCAATTCCTTCAAAGCACCTTGGACTTCTTCCTTCAGTATCATTGGCTCTTGATCATATGCTACTTCTTCATTTGTCATTTGCCCATTGTTGTTGTTAGATGCCATCGAGTCGGTACCAACTCATAGCAACCCTATGCACAACAGAACAAAACACTGCTCGATCCTGGGTCAACCTCATAATTGTTGCCACGGTTGAGCCCATTGATGCTGCCACTTTGCCAATCCATCTCGCTGGGGGTCTTCCTCTTTATCTCTGATCTTCCACCTTACCAAACATGATATCCTTCTCCAGTGACTGGTCCCTTCTGACAATATGTCCTAAGTATGAGAAATGAAGTTTGAATATGAACCATTTCCTTTTGGTACAGTGACTCTGTGTATTCCTTCCATCTTTTTTTGATGCTTTCTGCATCATTCAATAATTTGCCCAGAGAATCCTTCAATAAGAAAGTCAAAGTTTGAAATTTTACTTCAGTTCCCTCAGCTTAAGAAATGCTGAGTGTGTTCTTCCCTTTTGGTTTTCTAACTCCAGGCCTTTGCACATTTTGTTATATTTGACTTAGTCTCCTCGAGCTGACCTTTGAAATTTTCTGTTCAGCTCTTATTGTCTCTTCACTTCTTCCACTTGCTTTAGCATCTCTACACTGGAGAGCAGGTTTCAGAGTCTCTTCTGATACTCACTTTGGTGTTTTCCTTCTCTCTTGTCTTCTCAATGACTTTTTTGTTTTGTTTGTTGTTTTTTCCCTCAATGACCTTTTGCTTTCTTCCTGTACAATGTTCTTTATGTCATCCTACAACTCTTCTGGTGCCTCTTTGAGCTTTACTTACTGGGAATTGATCAGGACATTTGAAAGAACGTAACTGACCATAGGCCATAGGGACTATTATGAAAACATACCTCCCACAACATTCCTTAATAACACCAGTGAATAAAGTAAATGTTATTCACAAGTATGATACAATTGCTCAAATATGTATGAATCACACGATGCACAATGAAATGTGAGATGCAAAGATACAAGCAATATAAAAATAAAATGATCTTTCAACCAAGTCACACAATTCTGATTCTTACCATGTAAGGATCCACAGAAAGATAAAGAGTTCTAACTTGCACTTGTCCTTCCGTGATGTTATCTGGTAAGTTGACCTCTTCCATGCAGAAATTCTCTGCCACTGGATTACCATTTTTTCCTAAAATATTAAGTAAAATAAAAATAATAACTTTCTTGTACAAGTCTTCATTATTCTTTAATAATAAAGTTCATTCTAGAATTCACTCTCTTTTATTACAGGCATGAGTAAATCTACATTATTTTGTAATTTCTCTGTAACTACAGAATTGACTTAGCATAAATACTTCAAGTAGTTCCAGTTGTTCTTGATTTTTTTCCAAAAGGTTCTTAGGGAATATTGCTAATAACCTCAAATTTTCTTACTGAAAAAGTTACAGGTAAATCATCTTATCAGTTTTAAAATTACAGGAGAATTTACAAAATCGTTTTTATTGCTGTCAAGTGCCTTTGAATCTGTTCCGACCCATAGTGACCCTTTATGGGGTTTCCAAGGAGCGGCTGGTGAGCTTGAACTACCAACCTTGTGGTTCAAACCAACTTTGCAGTCCAGTGCATTAAACCCACAGCACCACATCAAAAAATCATAGCCAGCTCTTTGTTTATGATTATTAAAATGTACAAGTAGCAGAAACATCACGTAAGCCAAAGTAAATAGTTAAGGAAACGTCCTCATTTTAAGCAGCAAGAAATCTAAATGAATGTAATAAAAAAGAAATCTTAAAAATAAAGTTTGAGGAGTGAAGCTTTTAATTCTCATGAAATCCTGATTTCTGGATTCCATGCAAGTTGACCCACTCGAGCTATTGCCCTGAGATATAACCTTGAACCTGAAAAACTGGTTTCCAAAAAGTCACCTTTAAGTCCAACAATAATTCAGCTTTTTGCCTTGGGCACTGTGCTCTTTAAAAGAATTAGCTATGTGTAGCACAGAAACTCCAAAGGTCAGATTTGAAACCTGTTTTATAGCAAACTTTGGTATGGTGCCTAGAATGAGCAAGGTCTGGGGTTCAAACTCACCAGCCACTCCAACAACAGTTGTTACGTAAGGAGTCCTGGTATGGTACGGCAGCATAATGTCACAGGGATGGTGGTTCACAGCCACCAGCTGCTCCTCGGAAACCCTCTAAAGGATCACTGTGAGTTGGAACCAACTTCAACAGCACAGCAACAACGTTATTATGTAAACACTCATCTGTCCCATTTTCCAAAGCAATGTATAAGCAGTAAGATAGGACATAAGAATTTTTGAAAGACCTTTCTTTGCAACAGTTTTGACCCTCTAGTCAGAAATGTTGTGGCACTGTGGGTTAATGCGTTGGACTGCACAGTGGGTTTGAACTGCAAAGTGGGCAGTTCAAGCTCATCAGCTGCTCATTAAGCCTATACAAGGACGCTATAAGTTAGAACTGACTTGATGGCACTTAACAACAAGAACAGTCAGAAATGTTACAAGAGCTTTGATAACGTAGTAGGTAAAACAGTGAGCTGCTAACAGCAGTTCTACTGGGAAAAGATGAGGCTTTCTGCTTGTGTAAAGGTTTGTTGTTGTTAAGTGCGATTGAGTTGGTTCCAACTCATACAGATCCTGTATAGTTTTCAAGGGTTTCCAAGGAGTGTCTGGTGGATTTGAACTGCTGACCTTTCGGTTAGCAGTCCAGTGCTACAGCATCGAAAATCCTATTCAGGATCCTGGAGTCAGAATAGATTCTGCAGCAGTCAAACATGTTGCCCTGATTTCTAAATTATATATTAGATAAATTCAATCAATTTCTATTAATGGTTTAATATTTTTGTTATAACAAGCCTTAAAAAATAAGGAAATTTGAAAAATTTGAAGTTTAAAGAAAGAATGTGTAACAATGAAAATGTCATCACTTTCTATTCACAGAATCATCACATTTTCTAAGGTAAGAATAGAATATAAAGATCTGAACACAAATCTTCACTTTATTAAAAACAAGGTTTAGAAAAGTTAAGTGACTTCCCCAGGTCACATACTAGGTGAGCAGCAAAACCAAGGTTGGAGCACAAAAATGGGTCCAACGCTCTCAGGTTATTTGTACATGATGCTTCTTGTGATTAGGTTAGATGTCAGCTGTAGCACAAAGCAGTACTTTTCACATGAAAAAGAAAATTGTAAGAATCAATGAAGGCCACTTAGACTTCAGCTATCAATATGGGGGGCTGTAAAGGCACGAAGCAGCTGGCTTACAAGCTTCTATGGGGGTACTTAGGGTCAGAACGAGGTGGGTAAGATAGAATCCCGACTGAATAATTTTCCTCTTGTACAGATGAGTCTGCCAAGATAGGCACAGGATTTTATGGTTCAGTTGTGAGTAACTGTTATCTGGACTAATGGTGATTGTCACAACTGTAAATGTAGAAGAGGTGTAACTAAAAGGGGAGAGCAGTGAATCCGTCATTTCAGGAACAGAGGACTCTAAGACCACCAAGAAGGAAGAGAATGAGCACGTTGGAGGGGCTGAGCTGCCGCCGGAGTTGCTGTGACCAGAGTGGCTGTGGCCACTACATGATGTGGCTGTACTAAAGCCATACCTCCAGAGCCAGAGCTGCTGCTTCAGTAGCATAACAGGCCCTCAGGCCCTCATCCTGCTAATTTCTGTGCAGGTCCCAACTTTTCATCCAATACGCCGGCAAGCAAACATTGCTGCCCATCTTTAATATTCAGCTCTTTCTAACACCCAATTTGCTGGAGGTATGAAAGGAGGCCAGGGGATACCCTAAGCCCCTTTTGTTTCTGCCCATCACAAGTGACACAGTTGTTAAGGGTCTCACTAACACCTCTCTTTTCTCCCACCTCTTCAGCAAGAAGCAGATGTGTATACTGATGGTTGGATCAGATGTTGCTGGCAAGACGACAATTCAGTATAAACTGAAGTTAGGAGAGATAGTCACCACCATTCCTACTATTGGTTTTAATGTGGAAAATATAAGAACATATGTTTCATAGTATGGGATGTTGGTGGTCAAGATAAAATTAGACCTCTCTGGAAGCATTATTTCCAAAACGCCCAATGTCTTATTTTTATGGTAGATAGCAATGATCATGAAAGAATTCAGGAAGGAGCAGAAGTCCTGCAGAACATGCTTCAGGAAGATGAGTTGCAAGATGCAATATTGCTGCTTTTTGCAAACAAACAGGATTTGCTAAATGCTACGGCCATCAGTGAAATGACAGATAAGTTTAGGTCTTCAATCTCTTTGTAACAGAATATAGTATGTTCAGGCCACTTGTGCTACACAAGGAACTGGTCTGTATGAGGGACTTGACTGGCTGGCTGTCAATGAGCTTTCAAAACGTTAAATGAAACAGGAGTCTAACCAAGGACATATTTGGTAGAATTGGTCCATGCTTGCTATAACAGAATTAGTTTGCATCTTGGTTATTAAACAGTACACGGGACTGGTCTGAGGCAAAATAGTACAGTGTTTAAACTTGTTTTCTTGTCAATTATTGTTTACCAAGTGGAATGTTGCTGTTTAGCAATATGCTTGGTTTCAAAGAAATTCTCCTTAACTAGGGGGAAAAGGTGTCCTCCTAACTTTACTTCCTTTTAGCCTAAATCCCTGGATATAGCTATGTGATATCTTTAAATAAATTCATTTGAATGTTGTTGTTTTTTTAAACAAAATTGTTATAATTTCATAAAATAAGTAATTTCTGTAAAAAAATGGAACTGAGGTTTGAGCTCTATATTATGTTCCAAAAGATATTTAATGTATTTTTTCCCTAAATTTTACTTTGTTGTTGGAAATATACACAGTAAAATGTACGCCAATTCAACAGTTTTCATTTTGAATATTTTTTGAGCCCACGCCAAAAAGATTTTCTAATACCGCTGTGGCAGCCAGGGAAATACTCCAAAACACTAGTCAAATCTCTTGCACTGAGGAACTCCTCCTGCTCTCCCCACCATGACTGCCTCCTGGCTTCTGTCAGCCAAACTTAAATGCTGGTGTGGTTTGAAATTGATAGCTGATTAGTTATGTGCTGGTTGCGAAGAGTTCCTATTGAGGTGGTTTTTAATACTCAGCAGATTGTCTTCTTTTATATTTTTAACTTTTTTTTTTACATTGCATGTTGCTTTTGGCATCAGTCTAACATTTTGTCTAGTATAATAGTACTGATGATATTTTATTGATTATTGGTGAACATATCTTCAATATGAGTTTTTGTAAAACTCATCGAACTCACTAAGTTTCTTCATAACCCATTTGGAATCATTTCTAATAAAATGATAGAACATGTGGGGGAAAAAATAGGGAAGAGCATGAGAGGAGTGACGGGTCCTAACCAGAATAGCGGTGACACCAGAATAGAAGCCGAGCCAGGTAATGGCTCAGAGAGACAGAGCAGCGGAGGACTATAGGCCCATAGACTGTGGAAGGCAGTGTGCCTGCAGGCAGGAGGCTGGCTTGCAAAAAGTGCCCTTTGGACATTTAAACGTGTATACATTTTCAATGTGGCATGTGTACATCAAACAACAACAAAGGGTAATAAAGGTAAACAACGGAAGCCCGGGAGGGCAACGGGGGCCTAAGGGGCAAGCCGCAAAAGTGGTTGAAACAAAAGAAGAAGGGGGTTCAAACCCAACCCCTGCTCCTTGGAAACCCTATACAGGGTTGCCATGGGTCGGACTCAACGGCACTTAACAACAACAACAACTGTTGGCTGATGGTGCATGGAGGGGATTGTAAGCATTGCAATGATTTGTTGAATGTCAAACTGATGATCTGCCCTGTAAACTTTCACTCAATTCACAATAAAAGCTTTAAAAAAAACCAAAAAACAAACAAACAAACAAAAAAATCAATGATACCTAATATAAAGAAAAAGCAAAACCCACAGATTTAAATGTTCTTACTTGAGAATACCTATGCTTTCTTCTGGAGTCCTGACACGGTGCTATAGGATAAGCTCTAGACTGCAAGGTCAATTGGAACCACATGGTTGCAGTTCAAACCCACCAGCTACTTCTTGGAAACCTTATACAGAGTCACTGTGTCCAAACCAACTCAATGGCACTTGACAACAATTATCTCTTCAACAAATGGCTTTAATAAGTTTTCACTTAAAAAACTAAATTGTTTAAAAAAATTTTTCTCATCTCTATACTATGTCAGTGTCTTACCACCTTAATTTATCAGGGGTCCTGGTGGCATAGTGGGTTATGAGTTGGGCTGCTAATCGCAAGGTCAGCAGTTCTAATTCACCAACTGCTCTGAGGGAGAAAGATGAAACTTTTTGTTCCCGTAAAAGTTTACAGCTTCAGCAACCCTATACAAGACAAGGTCACTAAGAGTTGGAGTCAATCCAACAGCACTCCACCACCACCACCTTATTTTACCACACTGACATCATATTATTTTATATTGCTCCACTGTCATTAATAACCATCAAAGATTCACAGTTGTTTATTCATCACGGACACATACCAGGTCGGGAATTCAACACCACTCTTTGTACAATCATCACCCTATTTTCCAAGTGCTCGCACAAGATTTCTTCACCAAATAATTCCTATAAACAGAAAAAAATGAAATCATAAGAAAGTACTGAAATATTCAATAATTTAAAAACAAAAAAGAACCACATTTGTGTTTTCAAATGAAGAAAGGAAAAATCACATTTTTCAGATCCCAAAACAATACATCCTCCTGTCAAAGTTTGCCTCCTGAAGCAATTATACAAAGGAAGACTAAATTTAGTTAGATTTTTTGGCTAATAGGAACAAGTCAGTTGAAAATGACCTGAGGCAAAATGTTCTTTGGCCTCAAATAATTCAAGTACATTAATTTTAGTTTTCTACTGTGGCTTGATTAAAGAAAACAACGTAATATATATACCACAGCTGATAAACTGATCTAGTGGCAAAATGAAAATGCTAGCTGGTTAACTGACAGGTAACCTAATTTTCAAATTCTTTTATTCTTTTATCAAATGGAAACTTCTAATAAGAAAGAAAAGTAAGTACTCAGTTTATTCTTGGTTTCAGCTAAATTAATTAAATGAATTAAGCTAAAATTAAGTTTTAATCTGGCAACATCTGACTTGGGGAAAATCCCTTTGCTTACTTCATCCAGCAGAGAAAATGAGAACAAACCCAGTGAGTGTTGCTATGTACTAAATTCTGTTGTACTTTAGATATAGTCTCTCATTTAATTTCCTAATTCTATTAAATATTATTATTTCTCACATTTTACAGATAACGCTGTGGGCTAATGTGCTGGACTGCAAAGTCTGTTTGAAACTTAAGGTTAGTGGTTCAAACTCATCAACTGCTCCTTGGAAACCCTATACAGGGTCGCTATGGGTCCAACCAACTCAATGGTACTTAACAACAACTATAGATAAGGGTACTGGGCCTTCAGGACTTACGCACTTACTCAAAATAGTAGAGCTAGCTGACAGTTAAACTCAAGCTGACATGAAAGCCAACTGTTATCTACTATACAAAAATGTCCATTCTACAGAGTTTAAGATACTAAGTAAATGTTATATTTTAAATTAATGTATTAAAAGAAGACACGTCTTCTCTCATTAGATATTTTTGCTTATGATCTTTAAAACCTAACATTGAGAAATTCAAACAGAGACAATTATATTGCTTATTTTTATGATATTGCAACATATACTTCATCTTCAACATCATTTCTAAATCTAAAGATGTGACACACCAGGTCACTAATACATTTGACAAACATCTATAAATCATTTGATTCATGAACACATCACTCTTCAACTAGTTTTTAAACTCCAAGGATCCTTTAATCTTCAGATTTCTGTGTTAACCTACCTAGTACTTGAGAATCCTATACAGGCTTGAGATTTATAAATACTCCTAAAAATAGTAACCAATATGGGGTTTTTAAAATATCTTGTTTACTATAATAAGCATTGATCTGTGAACTACAATGTCTGTGATTCAAGCGGCCAACTGCTCTGTGGGAGGAAGATGAGGTTCTCTGCTCCAGTGAAGATTTAAAGCCTTGGAAACCCCATACAGGGTCGCTGAGTCGGAACCCACTCAATGACATTTAACAACAACAACATTTATATGGAGATTATGATAATTCTGACTCATAGCAACCCTATGTGCAACAGAATGGAACACTGCCAGGTGCCAAGCCATCCTCACAAATATTGCTGTTTAAGACCATTGGGGCAGCCACTGTGTAAACCATCTTATTGATGAATACTTGGCACATAGTTAAAACCAAAAAACCAAACCAGTTGCACACGTGGATTCTGACTCACGGCGACCCCATGTTTCCGAGTACAACTGTACTCCATTCTTTCAAGGTGCCTCTGGATGGATGTGAACTGCCAATATTTAGGTTAGTAGTACAGTGCTTAACCGTTTCCACCACCCAAGGACTCCTGGTATATGTGATTATGTTGCTGCTACGTGCCATCGAGTCGATTCCGACTCAGAGAGACTGTCAGTATAGGGTTCCCAAGGAGCGGCTGGTGGTTTGAACTGCCAAACTTGAGGTTAACAGTCCAGTGCTTATCCGACAGCGCCACACCATGACCCTGGGTATATAGCAAGTGCTCAAGAAATGTGTTAAGAGAACGTCCCAATGACGCCTCAAATGCAACAAGTCCAAACTTGGGTTGCTCACTCCAATAATTCGAAACAAACAACACACGCACTTAATTCTCCCTGAGCATTTCCTAACCTAGGATCTAAAGCAACAGCGCCAACGTCTGTCCGCAGAGTTCTCGAAGAATGCCTGGAGGTCACCCTGCGTTCCTAGAGTCCTTCCTCACCACTCAAACGGCTTCACGATAACCAGTTCCAACGGCCTGGCCAGCTATCCCTGCGTGCCTCACTCACCACGGGAGAATTCTGTGGGCAATCTCACGCGGTTTGTTGGGCTGCTCCAGACTTGCCTCACTTTCCCAGCTAGTCACGACACCGCCACTGGCCGACCGCAGTACGCAAGCGCACACCTCGGCCTCTGCTCTTTGCCCCCTCCCCTCTCCAGGGGCGGGATTTTTTAATTTGGAGAGAAGAAAATGGGATAAGTGGCGAAGGATTATAATCACTGACATGAAATGAACTATATAATTTGCTGAATGTAAAATCGATGATCTTCTCTGTAAACCTTCACCCAATCCATAATAAAAAGTTAAGAAGCTTAAATTCGGGGATGACGTCATAGCGTGCCACGTCTCTGTGAGAGGCGGGCCGACTGAAGTGCTCTTGGCTGGGCAAAATGCATGAATAAATTAAGCGGGGGTGCTGCCCTGCAACCGCTCTACTGCCAGGACCCAAAGAACTTATTATTTACCTTTGACCAGTCCACGTTTAGCATTCCTTGAAAGAACTTTATTCTTTTTATAAACTCCGGGAAGCTGCAATTGGTAAAACAGGTTGTTGTTGTTGTAGGAATCTAAAAATCACAGCTACCCCTCCTCAGTGTGCGATTAAAACTCGTCTCTCCAGACTTTTGGCCTAGGGCACTTTCACTTTCTTAAGAAAGGGTTCAGATTTTCCTTTAACAAACAATCCCAAATTCCTAAAAAAAAAGATTACCTGATTCAAGTTGATTCACAATTTCATTAATTACTATTGACTTTTTTGTGCTGGGCTGAATTACACAAGATGTATTCATAGAACAAGAATAAGCCTCCGTGACTTCAATCCCAAAGAGGCACAATTAGATTTACACAGGTTTAAAAATTGCTATTGATAAGGTTTTCAGTGACTAAATATTTAGAAGTAGTTCGTCATGCCTACTTCCTAGTCTGTCTTCATCTGGAAGTTCATCTGAAACCTGTCCACCATGGGT